AACGGGAAGAGGAGATCTTATGTACTCCAGCTGGAGAGAACTCCTATTATATACCTGAGATGATGAGGGTGGCCTCTTGCACAAGTCCCATCCAAGCATCCCTGAAGGTTGAGACAGAAACTGCTAGGGCAATGGAAGGGTACAGGTGCCAGCAGACAGGAACCACAGAATTGAGCTTAGAAGAACTGGTGCCAGGTAAGTAGAAGCACAGTGATGATGGCACCCCAACTTCACCCAGACCAGTAAAGAGCAGAGCCGGGTCACAAGCTAAGTTTAGTTACAGTCAAGCAAGAAGACACCAAATCACGAACAGCATCAATGTCCGAGAGGAGCAGAGGTTGGCCATGTGTGAGGTACATAACTGATGGGACAACATCTTGTTTAAGAGTCCATGCTGAGGTCAGCAACACAGGTGGGCATCAGGCATAAACAGGCAGGGGTTGTCCAGAGACAGGTCAGACGAAAACCGGGTCAATAACAGGGTCAAGCAGATTCAGGATCAAGGATACTAGAGATACGAGCAAAAAGATCATCCAGCAATTATCTCATTCAGGGTCCAGGTTTACTTGGCACCAGTATCTGTGGTGGATGTGCCAGTGCATCCATGTGCATGCTGGTGTAACTTTGTAGGCATTGTGGTTCCATGCACCAGCTCCTACTACACTACTGTGTCTTGTGGTCACATAGGAGTCAGTGAGAGGCACAACCGACTGCAGCAGTGAGAGACAAATAGGCAAATATGAAAACATTGGTTCCTGAAGCTCAAAGTGCTTTAAACCCCCAACAGTACAATCAGTCTGTATATGCGGTAAAGCGTGCTTGTTATACTCACTGTGGAACATAGAAAAAAAGTAATTTTCATTTTAACATATATTTGTAAATGCATTCCAAAAAATGTAAATTAAATGTTATTTTAAAGTTTGAAGTCAATCTCATATTTTTTTTTGTTTCCTTTTTTTTTATTTCATAGTGCGCTGTTTATTGGTGTATAATAATCATATTCTATCCACTTAAAAGAAAAATATATTTTAAATATATTTTAAAAATATTCTTTCCAAATATATTGACATATTGACATACTACAATTTTGGCCATATTATATATATATATATATATATATATATATATATATACATACTGTTTGTTGAAATGTGCAGCGCGATCCCAGCACAAAGACAGGTATGCAAATATGTGGTCGCACAGAAAAAAGCCCAGTTCTGTGAGGCCGCATATTTGTGTGACGTCAGTGTGAAGGTGTTAAAGATACCCTGTCACTGCAATTGAAAAAAAAAATACAGAATCAGAATATAGAATAGCATTTTACATACTGTCCCGTACCTGGTAGGAGGCTGAATTGACGAGGTCAGGCTCTCGTGTATCTCCAGCCCAGGCACCACTGAAGGTGGAACAGATGGTGCCAAGAGAGAGGAGGAACACCAGTGCCAGCAGGTGTTGATAGCAGAACTTCCAGCTGGAGGAGTCAGGAGGATGTGATGCATGCTGAGGACCCGCCAAGGTTAAAGGGACACTCTGGTGGTACTGCAGGTTCTGGAAGCGTGGCTTGTTGAAGATCTCAACAGGCTTTAGGCAGGAACACACTGTGATGACTGGAATGGGTTTGAAGGACATCCAAAGCAGACCCAAGTCAGAAGCAGGAGCGAGGTCACGGGGTAGCCGAGGTCAGCAGAAGGCAGGCAATGAGGTACCAAAGCGCAGGAAAAAGCGTGGTCAAGAGTGAGGCCGAGGTCGGGAATGGATGTGGAAAAGGTACAAACAGAATTCAGAATCAGTTTAGTAACAAGCCGGGTCATCAAAGGACATCATATACAGAATATACTCAGGACACAGGTAAGCTGAAGACCAGCCCACATGGAAGAAAAATATATTTGAAAAACATTTGAAAAATATTCTTCCCAAATATATTGACATATATAATATGTTATAATTTTGGCCAAATTTCATATATATATATATATATATATATATATATATTTTTTTTTTTTTAATATATTAAATTTAGTCATAATTGTAGCATTTCAAATATATGTGTATATATATATATATATATTTATTTATATTCATATATACTGCATGTTGAAATGCATTTTTATTACACAATGTATGAAAAATATTTTTAATACATTTCAATACATTTCAAATATACTGTATGTCTTTAAAAATGCAAATACATTTTTGGAATACAAATATATGTAAAAATATATGTTAAAATGACTTTTTCATATATTTTGTAATAAAAATGCATTTCAACCTACTATATATATATATATATATATATACACACACACACATATATATATATATATATATATATATATATATATATATATATATATATAAAAACATATTTTTAAATTATATTGAATATGGCCAAAATTGTAGCATTTCAAATATATGTCACTATATTTGGGAAGAATATTTTTAAAATATATTTCAAATATATTTTTCTTCCATATAGGAGTCAACACTGACAGTGATTAAGAGCTTCCTTTAAATAGCCTATCTGGCACCAGAGACTGTAGGTGCACTCCCACGTGCACGCACACGTGTGCGCAGGAATACATGCATGCTGATTTCTATGAGCGATGTGCCTATGCACATTTCTATTAGCGGTGCTGTACGCGTGCGCATATCTATGCGCCAATTGCCTTATAGGAATTCCCTTACACATACTTTTCCAATGGGTTATGAGTCAAAACTTCACTTTCTTAACCCCCCTGGAGGTATTCCCGAGTGTAGTTCGGGGTAAAGTTTCAGCACCACAAGCGGTAACCCTGAGCTACACTCGGGAATACCCTGCAGCGTTGCTCCGGGATCCCAGTATCACTTACCTTGTCCTGCGCTCCCGCGATGTCCCCCCTGCAGTGTCCCCGGCAATGTCCTCCAGCTGATGCCAGCATCTGTCATCTGGGTTCCGTTCCCTGCGACGTCGGGACGGAACCGGTGGCAAATTTAAAAATGTGAAAAAGTGACATTCATTAAATACACTAAAATCACATAGTAAAACATTCCTGTATCAAACCATTTCACATACATTTTGTCCCGAGTGCTTTGTCCGGCGCCCTGCCTGCATTTTTACTGTTCTTTCTGCCTGGAAACTGAGAAACGTCCATGGCGTCCAAAAAGCGTCCCTTTAGGTCAAAAGCGGTTTTAGACCAGCTAGAGAACAGCGATAGTAAATCAGAACCACTTGCAGAATTGAGTGATAATGATTCGTGGGGGAAATTCCTCATCAGACACTGAAAACGATTCTGTGACTTTGCTCAGCGATGTCCGAACTTGGCGCTCTATTTCAAATTTCAGTGTTTTTGGTTTGATTATATTATTGAATTAAATTTATTATTATTATATTATTATTTTTTATGATTATTTATTAAATTATAATTTATGATTTCGTATTTCAAATTTTATCATCCCCGGGATGTTTACTAGACTCTTGTTCGGACAGATTTCAGTGAGTTATTCCTAAAATTACAGGCCTACAATAAAAAAAATACATATTTCCATGCAAAAAAATGTACCACTTTGAGCACAGAAATATGGACATAATCAGACTGATAGGGAGGCTACATAACTGCAGGTACTGTTGGTATCCAACCAGGGCCGGACTGACAACTCATGGGGCCCCCGGGCAATAGGGGATCATGGGGCCCCTGTGTGCTTGCCCAAACTCAAAAAAGCCTATGAAAAAAGGTACCAGGGGCATCTCATGGGGCCCCCTACTGACCCCGGACCCTCGGGCAGTGCCCGAGTTTCCAAATGGTCAGTCCGCCCCTGTATCCAACATTTCTGGGTGTGTGGTACCTGGTCTCCTACTGGCCGATATGTACAGTACACGGCATGGACATTGCTCCGGTAGGAAGAACCACATTGCCCAGTGGGCTACCAGGTATCTGACACATTCAGAAGTTCCAGATACCAGCAGAGCTCATAGCTTCACTAGACAGCAAAGGTTTGCCTCCATCAGAAAGGTAAGTACTAAACCTCTGCTTGAACGTAGTGATGGGTCACTTTGCATTTTGAAAATGTTCTTTGACAATGCACGGCCCGCGTGAAAAGAAAATTAAACAATTCCATATGGACTGGAAGCAGGTTTAGAATTTAAAAGAACATAAAGAACATGAGTTTTTTTTCTAAAGCAGTGATGGAAAAAAAACAGAAGATGGGCCGAAAGATAAACATTGCATGAGATCCAACCCTCAAGATTCTGTTAAAATATCAGAAGGTTTAATCTAAGAGCAGTTTTTTGATGTTTATCTTGTAACTGCTATTCAAAAGATGAACAACATCATCCGTTCACTATTGCAAAATGTGAATATGGGGAATATAGACATTTCAGAAAGTATAAACAGCGGTAAAGAAGGCTTCCACCATAATGGGGGGTTCCCCCTTACATTGCAGAGCTACAACTAGTTGGGCAGTAAAGAGGAGCTACTTCAGGGACTGGGTTTTGAAAGAGGAGAAGCATAGGAGAGTGAGCAATATGGTGAATATTTCATCATTTCCTACCCCCCCTAGACAAGGCCAATATTTAACCTTGGGGGGCCCCACTGCAAGGGTAGCCTTTTCTCCAGCCCTGAGTTAAAGCGGAGTTCCATTCACCCTGTCAAAAAATAAGTCAGCAGCTACAAAAACTATAGCTGCTGACTTTAAAAAAAACAGCCACTTACCTGTCCCTCGGTCCCGTGGTGTGTCCCCAGCAGCCCGTTTCACCAGCCGTCCTGTATTCCAGGAGGCCTGTATCTTTAGTGTGGGCCCCTGGCTGTGACAGCTTGCGGCTTCACAGCCGGGTGCCCACTGCGCATGCGTGAGTAGCGCTGCGCTTCATGAATGGTCCTGTAGTCTTCTGGCACCTGTCATGTGTCCCAAAAGACTACAGGGAGGGAGGACACCTTCCGTTTCCGATCACCTAGGCGATCGAGCCTGAAGGTACCAATCCTTAATGGGGAGTGGGGGAGCAGTCCTTAAAGCGGAACTTCCCCTTTTGGGTGGAGCTCAGGGGCGGACTGACCATTTGGAAACACGGGCACTGCCCGAGGGCCCGGGGTCAGTAGGGGGCCCCAAGAGATGCCCCTGGTACCTTTTTCATAGGCTTTTTTGAGTTTGGGCAAGGACACAAGGGCCCCATGATCCCCTATTGCCCGGGGGCCCCATGAGTTGTCAGTCCACCCCTGGTGGAGCTGCACTTTAAGCTTTAACATTTAAAGTAGTTGTAAACCTCAAACATGAATAATGAGCAAAGCATATCCATCTATAGTGTACTTCCTGTCCGCTGCGTCCTTCCTTTGCTATCTATATGAATCACTTCTGACAAGTTTTCCTGACACCAGGAGAAAAATGGTGACAGGGGAGAGACCTCCAGCAGATTGTATTTCAATGGTTTTTATTAATTTTAAAACAGTTTAACACAGGAGCAACAAATCATGCCTAAGCAGGGGCTATCAATTGCACATAAAAAAAATAAAAATAAATAATTAGAAAAGACAGTGCTCTAACACCAACAGAGCAAAAGGTGTGCACATGCAGAGGCTATCAATGGCACTTAAATGACAAAAAACATTAGTATAACACTGATAGTAACTCAAACTAAAAGCAGCTATCCACTGCCACACCAAAAACAAACAAAAAAAAGGAAGGAGGAGTACGACCTCCAGCAGATTGACAGGCTCAGCTCTATGAGCTGTGTGTATGTGTATGTGGTAGGTGTCCCGCCTCAGTGAGCTCTGCACTGCTCTCCACCCCCTCTTTCCTGAGCTCTCAGACAACCTTTATAAATTCAGCACTTTGAATGGACGTCAAGAAAAGACGAAAGCAGATAAACAGGTACAACGTACGTAGGAGGATTTTTTTCATCTCGTAGTATTACACGAGGCCAGTCACTTAACTTGGGTACAGGGGCGGACTGACCATTTGGAAACTCAGGCACTGTCCGAGGGCCCGGGGTCAGTAGGGGGCCCCATGAGATGCCCCTGGTACCTTTTTCATAGGCTTTTTTGAGTTTGGGCAAGGACACAGGGGCCCCATGATCCCCTATTGCCCGGGGGCCACATGAGTTGTCAGTCCACCCCTGTCCTGGAGTATCACATGGTCACCCTGCACCCATCCAAGTTCAAATTTTCTAATAAGGCATCAAAGAGAATACCCCTAGACCAGGAGTGGGGAACTGTGGCCCCATGAGTTATCAGTCCGCCCCTGCTTGGGTATATGTAAGGGTTTACAACCACTAGATTCAGCTCTTACCCCTTAACCCCCCCTTTCCCCTTAAGAGTGAGCACCTAACCAGCACATAACCCCTAAAAACTAGACCTAACGCTAATGATGAACCAAATGTATTGGGGTTTAGTTAGGCATTTTCCGTCTTTTTTTTTTTTTTTTGCCTTCCTCTGGATCAACTGTGGGTGTAGGATTATAACTTTTTTTTTCTATGGCGAACTGGGTAAACTTTTGTCTTTTTTCAGCCAGACTAACTATGTAGCTATGTAATAACTAATGTTCTGGGCTGAATCCAAACCCCTTTAAATCAATGGGAGTTGAATAAAAAAAAAAAAAAAAAAGCAGTAATAATCAAGACTAATATGCTGGGGATTGTCGAACAAAAAGGCACGGGCGGATGGAAACTACCCTGGGGGCACCAAAGCAAAACCTTTTTTTTTTTTAAATGTAAAAACTTTATTTGGTAGGGAGCAGCAATTTTAGGAATGCTTAAAGTGAAAGAATAAAAATGCAAAATTGATTTAAATTGCAAGCTTGGGGAATGCCAGTAAAATGACAACTCCCGGCAGCTTTGATCTGTTGGTGAACGGTGCAGCCATCCAGATCAGGTATAGATGAGGCTCTGATATAGATGTTAATGGGGGAACCCCTCAAAAAACACAAAAAAAAACAAGCATGGACTTTCCCCCCGAATTCATACTATGCCATTCAGAGCTAATGGATCCTGCTTCAGTCTTTAAAGCGGAGCTCCACCCAAAAGGGGAAGTTCCGCTTTAAGCCTTTGTCCTCCGCTCCCCATTAAGGATTGGCACCTTTGGGGAGTGAGTACCTGAATTTGATAAGTACCTGCTCCCACTTCCACTGCAATCGCCTGGGTGGTCGGAAGCGGAAGTTGTCCTCCCTCCCCGTAGTGTTCTGGGACACATGACAGGGCTCAGAAGACTACATGGCCATTCACAAAGTGCACAGCTTCTCGCGCATGCGCAGTGGGCACCCGGCTGTGAAGCCTCAAGCTGTCACAGCCGGGTGCCCACACTGAAGATGCCGGTGCCAGGGAGAGAAGACGGCCAGTGAACGTGGAGCTCCACCCTAAAGGGGAATTTTCACTTTAAGCCTTTGTCCCACGCTCCCCATTAAGGATTGGCACCTTTGGGGAGCAGGGGGGAGCGGATACCCAAATTTGACAAGTATCCACTCCCACTTCCGCTGCGATCGCCTGGGCGGTCAGAAGCAGATGTTGTCCTCCGCCCCCCTTCCCGTAGTCTTCTGGGACATGTGACAGGTCGCAGAAGACTACGGTGCCATTCATAAAGCGCAGCACTTCTCGCGCATGCGCAGTGGGCACCCAGCTGTGAAGCTGCAAGCAATCACAGCCAGGTGCCCACACTGAAGATGCCGGCACCGGGGAGAGAAGACGGCCGGTGAAACCAGCTGTGGTGAGGACTCCACTGGACCAAGGGACAGGCAAGTGGTTGTATTTTAAAAGTCAGCAGCTACAGTTCTTGTAGCTGCTGACTTTTATTTTTATTTTTTTTAGGTGGAACTCCGCTTTAAGTTCATCAGGAGAGAGAGACCAGAGCCACTGTAGATGGACACAGTGCTGGACTGAGGTAGGACCTGGGCAAATATAAAAGGAGACAAAATGGCGAAACAACTGACAGGACATTTTTTGCCTTAATGCAGGGAACGCATTAATTTTTGTTTTTAAAATCTGCTTTAAATTCAGATTTAAAATGTGAAAATTCTTGCACTGTGTTCTGAAATATTAAACCCAATGTCCTTTTTTTTTTTTTTTTTTTTTTTTTTCAAACAGTTCCATCTATGTAGCCCTTATCAAAAATCTCCTCTGTGTCCCGTGTGTTTCCTTTTACTTTTGGCTTTTAAACAAATCGGTTGAAAGTGATAACAGTGCAATGACACATCAGCTTTCAAGATTACATAAAACTCCACAATATATAGAGAATAGAGCATAGGGAAAATCGTTCTTCATTGTCGCCTTCACAGTGAGGAGAAGCCCAATAGACAGTCCATTGGAAGGTATGGTATGGGATTTTAAAAATTGGGTCCATAGTATATTATGTTCCTACTGAAATCATATTCAAATGTTATTTGCTGTTTACTAGAACAAGACCCCTTGTTATTATCTTTGGTGAAATCTAATTTTTTAATTAATTAAAAAGAAGAAAAGGAATCATTAGACAGATAATGAAACTGCTCATGTAGCCTCAAAAAGGATAGAAAGATAGATAGAAAGAAAGATAGATAGATAGATAGATAGATAGATAGATAGATAGATAGATAGAGAGAAAGAAAGAAAGAAAGAAAGAAAGAAAGAAAGAAAGAAAGAAAGAGAGAAAGAGAGAAAGAAAGAAAGAGAGAAAGAAAGAAAGAAAGAAAGAAAGAAAGAAAGAGAAAGAAAGAAAGAAAGAAAGAAAGAAAGAAAGAAAGAAAGAAAGAAAGAGAAAGAAGGGAGGGGGTGAGAGAGAGAAAGAAAGAAAGAAAGAAAGAAAGAAAGAAAGAAAGAAAAGAAAGAAAGAAAGAAAGAAAGAAAGAAAGGGAGAGAGAGAGAAAAAGAGAAAAAGAAAACAGCTGATGGACATACAAACGTACAACTGTCTCCTCATAAATGTATATCTTTTTTCAGCAGAGCGAGAGAAAGGAAGAAAGAAAGAAAGAAAGAAAGAAAGAAAGAGAGAGAGAGGGGAGAGGGAGAGAAAGAAAAAGAAAGAGAGAGAGAAAGCAAGAAAGAAAGAAAGAGAGAGGGGGAGACAGAGGGAGATGGAGAGGGAGAGAGAGGGAGAGAAAGGGGGAGAGACAGAGAGAGGGAGAGCGAGAGAAAGAAGGAGATAAAGAAAGAGAGAAAGAAAGAAAGAAAGAAAGAAGGAAGGAAGGAAGGAAGGAAGAAAGAAAGAAAGAAAGAAAAAGAAAGAAAGAAAGAAAGAAAGAAAGAAAGAAAGAAAAGAAAGAAAGAAAAAAAAAAGAAAGAAAGAAAAAGAAAGAAAGGGAGAGAGAAAGAAAAAGAGAAAAAGAAAACAGCTGATGTACATACAAACGTACAACTGTCTCCTCATACATGTATATCTTTTTTCAGCAAAGAAAACATGGCAACTTTTTCTGACGACTCCTTGGATAGCTCTGATGAGTCATCATATGTAATCGATTTTTCAGACTCTTCTGAGGCAACAAATCAAACAGACTATTCAGACCTTGTTGAGCTCCTTGGGTTTCTTACATCGATAAACAAAGCCTACACATTTATACAGATTCTATCCATTGTTTGCTACAGCATTACATTGATTGTCGGAGTCATGGGAAATGGTCTAGTCATCTGGGTTGCCAGCTTCAAGATGAAGACCGTCAGTTCTGTTTGGTTCCTCAACTTGGCCATTGCCGATCTCATCTGCAACCTTGCCCTTCCTCTCCGGATTTCACATTGGGCTATGTTTTGGGAAACATATTCTGACAGAGATCTGTGCAAGCTTGCCATGACCGTGATGCTCATCAATATGTTTTCCAGTGTCTATTTTTTGACTGTCATCAGTGTTGACCGGTGTGTCTCCATCATGTGGCCATTTTGGAGTCGAACGCACAGGACACGTAGACTGGCCAGCATAGTATCAGCGTTTATTTGGCTGCTTTGTCTGTTGAGCAGCGTGCCACACGTGGTGCGCAAATACACCTATGAAGACAACTCGGACTGTTTTCCTAAGTATGAGGCATGGCTTAAAGAGGAAATGGATTATCGAAAGGTTGATAAGATGTTCATCATCCAAAATGTATGCATGTTTTCAGTACCATTTTTCATAATCACCATCTCCTATATTCTGATTGCTTGCAAAGTCAGATCTCTTAAAAGACCAAAAAGTTCGCGAAGACATTTAAAAGTCATCATTGTCATCGTGCTTTGCTTCTTCGTCTGTTGGTTTCCCTACAATACGTGGCCATTTGTTCCCTACAACATCAAATACTGGAAAGCTAACATGATCATCTCTGAAATTTGCGTCTGCTTGGCTTATTTCAACAGCTGCATCAATCCTCTTGTCTATGTTTTCTGTTCCCAAGATTTTAAGAAAGGCTTTACAAAGTCCATGCCAGCTAGATTGGAACACCTTTTCAGTGAACGGCCTGACGTCATCCCAGATGAAGATACTTGTAACAAAACAAGAGTTGAACTAACCACACGTAGCTTAGAGTGAGTTTCCTGCTTCCCATTGGTAAAAAAAAACAAAAATGGAACAATGACTAATAAACTCAGAAAAGTGATCTTACATTCCAATAAATTGGAAAAAGGATTTAAATTTTTGGAATTTGTGGTTATTTTACAGAATTTGTTTTGTTCACAATTTTTCACATTTTTTGAGTGGGACTATTTCTATTAATTTTTATGAATTTTTATTTTTATATATTTTTATGATTTATATATGATTTCATTATTTGCGCTGTTTGAATGTTTTCATATAGTTTGGTGTACATTGCACTTATGTAAAGCAGCTTGAAAATTAATTTTGGTACACATAATATGATATATTTATTTGGCGCTAGGGATTTATGATTATATAATAAAAGTGTTACATATTGGGGTGGATTTACTAAAGGAATAGGAAATGTTCACTTTGTAAAAACATTTTTTTTACGCTTTATAACACAATAGATTAGTTGTTTAAGCTTTGTGATGCTTTTCTAGGACTGATATACTAAAGCAGAGTTCCACCCAAAAGGGGAAGTTCCACTTTAAGGCCCCATGTACATAGGACACTTCTGAACGATGGAAACTGACTGCTGGAAAACACAGGTTAAAAAACGTCTGTTTAGACGCGTTTATGAGTGTTTGCGTTTAGAAGCTTTTTTTAAGCTATGCCCAGAATGCACAAAATGCCCAGAATGCACTGAAAAGTGGTAAATTATTAACTATTTCAGACTGTTTCAGAGAAATACAGAGAGTAGAAGCAGAGACAGCAGTATGTGTTGAGATTAGCTAGGTGTGAGTTGCTCATTAACATTTCTTTTGTTTCCAAGGGTGGGAAAGGTATCTGGTGGAGGGAGTCATTAAGGTCACCTGGTAGGGGGTCTTCATGAGGAATTTGAGGTGTGAATGGTCATTAACCTCCTGGCGGTATGATTCTTTCGATTTTTGGTGCTGAAAGCGGTACCATTTTTTGGCATGGAAATATGTCGTTTTTTTATTGTAGGCCTGTAATTCTTAGGAATAACTCACTGAAATCTGTCCGAACAAGAGTCTAGTAAACATCCCGGGTATGATAATATTTGAAACACGAAATCATAAATTATAATTTAATAAATAATCATAAAAAATAATAATATAATAATAATACATTTAATTCAATAATATAATCAAACCAAAAACACTGAAATGTGAAATATAGCGCCAAGTTCGCACATCGCTGAGCAAAGTCGCAAAATTTTTTCAGTGTCTGATGAGGAATTTCCCCCACGAATCATTATCACTGAATTCTGCAAGTGGTTCTGATTTACTATCGCTGTTCTCTAGCCGGTCTAAACCCGCTTTTGACCTAAAGGGACGCTTTTTGGATGCCATGGACATTTCTCAGTTTCCAGGCAGAAAGAACAGACAAAATGCAGGCAGGGCACCGGACAAAGCACTCGGGACAAAATGTATGTGAAATTGGTTGAGACAGCAATGTTTTACTATGTAAAATGTAAAAAAAAAAAAAAAGACATTTTTTAACATTTTTAAATTTCCCGCCGCCAGCGGCGCCCGTACGTCCCGACGTCACAGGGACCGGAACACAGAAGCCAGATGCCGGCATCGGCCGGAGGAGATGGCCGGGGACACTGCAGGGGACACATCGTGGGAGCGCAGGGTAAGGTAAGTGAAGAACAAATGCCGGAGCAGTGCCGCATGGTATTCCCAAGTGTAGCTCGGGGTTACCGTTTGTGGTACTGAAATGTTACCCCGAGCTACACTCGGGAATACCGCCAAGAAGGTTAACATATCTTTTGTTTCCAAGGGTGGGAAAGGTCTGAGGTGTGAATTGGTCATTACAATGCGTTTATGAGCGTTTGCGTTTAAAAGCGTTTTTTTTTTTTTTTAAGAAAAGCACAGGAGAACCTCCCAAATGCCCAGAATGTACTGAAAAGTGGTAAATTATTAACTATTTCAGACTGTTTCAGAGAAATACAGAGAGTAGAAGCAGAGACAGCAGTATGTTTTGAGATTAGCTAGGTGTGAGTTGCTCATTAACATTTCTTTTGTTTCCAAGGGTGGAAAAGGTGTCTGGTGAGGGAGTCATTAAGGTCACCTGGCAGGGGGTCTTCATGAGGACTTTGAGGTGTGAATGGCCATTAACATATCTTGTGTTTCCAAGGGTGAGAGAGGTCTGAGGTGTGAATGGTCATTAACATATCTTTTGTTTCCAAGGGTGGGAGAGGTCTGAGGTGTGAATGGTCATTAACATCTCTTTTGTTTCCAAGGGTGGGAGAGGTCTGAGGTGTGAATGGTCATTACAATGTGTGACAAGCTTGGTAGGAACATCCTGTGTTCAATGTTTTGTCCATCTGAGCACCTTGAAAACGCTTTGCATGCGTTTTTCATGATGAAAAAAGGCTCTGGACAGCATCGGGAACTGGAAGAGTTAAAAAAATTTTTAAAAAGCAAATGCTTATAAACGCGATTTGCCGTGTTTAGCCGCATTTTGCGTTTGAAACGCTGATAAAATCGACTGCTGAACGCAAGTCAAAAAAAAACGACTGTAAACTCAAATGCCTGTAAACAACTGAAAACGACGATGTATATATGGACACATAGGAAAACATTAGGGAGAGTTCAGGGGCTCCTGAACGTGAATTTATCAGTGGTCCCCCACTCCTCATTAAGGATTGGCACCTTTGGGGGGCGGGTAATTTGACAGGTACCCGCTCCCACTTCCGCTCCGATCGCCTAGTCGATCGGAAGTGGAAGGTGTCCTCCCTTCCTCCCTCCCTGTAGTCTTTTGGGACAAGTGACAGGTCCCAGAAGACTACAGGACCATTCAGAAAGCGCAGAGCTACTCGCACATGCTCAGTGGGTACCCGGCTGTGAAGCCGCAAGCTGTCACAGCCAGTTGCCCACAATGAAGATGCCGGCGCCCAGGAAGAGAAGACGGCTGGTAAAACAGGCTGCGGGGGACACACCACGGGGACCGAGGGACAGGTAAGTGGCTGTTTTTTAAAAGTCAGCAGCTACAGTTTGACCTGTGTTCAGTTCAACTGCAAAAGTAAAATAAATTTAAATAAATAGGAATTTTTCTTTCGTACATAGTTGGATGGCAAATAAAGGTCACTATGGTGCCTCATGTATACCAAGCTTTAACCAAAAAAAAAAAAAGATTCTATTAGACATTACTGGCACATTTATTTATTTTTTTTCATAAAAAACATTTATAATTTTTATTACAAATTTCCGAGTAAAATGACATAAAGGCCATGCAAATCATAAAAGCTCTGCCTATATACAATAAATACCAACTGCAACTTATCTCCGGCAGTATTAAATTTTTCTTTTTCCTCCTAAATTTATCAACATTTACATTCTGTGGAGACAAGTTCTTAATAGGTCAAATGGCTTTTGTGACCTGGAATAGGTCTTTATGTGACCTTACTCACTAATGTGTAATACAATTGATATATGTAAGTTATTTTATTATATACTTGCTCAGTGGTGTATTTAGGTTTTGTGCTGCCCTAGGCAACACAAAAATCAGCGCCCCCCGCAGAGAGAGCCTGACATTGACCAACAACACCCTTGACTCCCACCCGAGAGAGCTTTCCGCTACCACTGCCCCCCATACACCAGCCACCATCCCCCATGACAAGAGAGAGAGACACTCACCTTCACAGCTCCGGACATCCCCGGGAACGAGAGTCGAGCTGTGCATACACTATCATGAAACCCGCAACCTCTCTCGGAACCCAACAGGTCCTCATGCCACGCTTGTCCCTTCTTCCATCCCTTCTTCCAAGGGGCAGTGCTGCCCCCCTTGAAAAATGCCGGCCTAGGCAAATGCCTTGTTTGCCTTGTGGTAAATACACCCCTGGAATAATTGTTGAGAGGTGTAGTGAAAAGCACTGGCAAATCTTTTTTGGTATCACCACAGGACTTGTTTTTTTGAATGCAGCCCATGTCATTAAGAATTATCTTCAGTATCAAGAAGAACAAGGAAGTGATGGTTTGGCTCCCACAGAGCCCTGATCTCAACAACATGGAGTCATGAAGAGACAGAAGGATTTGAGGCAGCCTAAATCCACAGAAGATCTGTGGTTAGTTCTCCAAGATGTTTGCAACAATCCTTTGCAGATTTCCTTCAAAAACTGTATGAAAGTCTGCCTAGAAGCATTGGTGCTTTTTTGAAGGCAATGGGGGGGGGGGTCACGCCATATATTGATTTGATTTGGATTTCTCTTCTGTTCATTTACTTTCCATTTTGTTAATTGATAATAATAAACTATGGACACTTCTATTTCTTTAAGCATTCTTAATTTATAGCATTTTTCCACACCTGCCTAAAACTTTTGCACAGTAGTATATGTGTAATGTAAATATTGACCCCAAAATTCTTATTAACCACTTGCCGTCCGCCTGCTGTTTATAAACGGCAGGGCGGTGGCACTCCAGGGGCGGGTTGCCGTTCATAAACGGCACCCGCCTTTTCTAGCTGTGCGCGCTCCTTGGGAGCGCGCAGCACCGCGATACGGTGCCCGCTGTGTCCTCCGGACACAGTGAAACACCAATCGTCGGACGGGACCTCTGTACGAGGTCCCGATCATGTGATCACTGATCACAATCAGTGATCACATGCAAAGTAGTAAGCAAGATGTCACTTGTGACATCATTGCTTACTACGTGTGAAATCTGTGAATGATCACAGAGGTCACATGGTACAGGACCATTCACAACAGCCTTGTACAATGTGACAAGGTGTGACCAATCACAGCTCACTCAGTATTTCTCAATGGCTGCAAGAATGCAGACAGAGAGAAAGAGAAATGATTGCTTTTACATCCTATATGGGTGTAAAAGCAATCACTGTAAAAAAAAAAAAAAAAAAAATCTTCATCACCCCCACAAGTAGTACAGTGTCACCATGGTGACAGTATGTAAAAAAAAAACCAAAAAACCCATAAATAATAATATAAAAAAATAAAATAAAAATGTAAAAAAAATGTTTAAAAATTATAATTTTTGGTTAAAAACTAATTTGGCTTATTTTTTTTTACTAAAGATATAACGGAATAAATTTTGGTCAAGATTTATGATGAAAGATTATTTGCAAAATTTAATAAGAAAAACACTTTTTTTAAAAAAATTTTTGGACATTTTCATTTACAAAGCAAAAAAAATAAAAATCCCAGCGGTGAATAAATACCACCAAAATAAAGCTTTATCTGTCTCAAAAAAATGGTAAAAAATTCATATGGGTACAGTATTGCATGACCGCGCAATTGTCATTCAAAGTGTGATAGCGCTGAAAGCTGAAAATTGCCCTGGTCAGGAAGGGGGGGAAAGTGTCCGGACTGGAAGTGGTTAATATAACAGTCCACATATCATTCCATAAGAGTCCACCACGAATGTGTCAACAATCTTCTTAAATTCGGTGGTGCTGTGCCATTCACCCACAATTATGGTGTTACGCTCACTGCATTGAATGAACCTTAAATCATAGGAGGTTGATATCCAGGATGATATCCTTCATTCATTACAGTGGTCTGGGACTGTATGTGGGGACTGTGAGAGCCCGTCCACATGCCAAGGACATCAGAGAGTGTAGAAGAGCGCTAACTCTTCTGTAGTTATTCCAACCCAACTAGACAAAATGAGCATTTAACCCATGCAGCGAAGGGGAGCCCATCCCACATGGAAGAAAAATATATTTCAAAGTGAAAAAAAAAAAACAAGAAGCGCACCAACCTTGCGCATTACCTCAGTAACCCAAAATTTATTAGTAAAAGAATGGTACTCACAAACTGCGAATAAAAACAGGCATGTAAGTCCTCCAAGGGACTTCAGAGACAAGAGGCCAGCACGAATCCCATCATGGGGGTAGACACTCAGTACAGCTGACGCGTTTCGAAGGTCGTACCTTCTTCCTCAGAGCTCATTTGACATATATTTTAAAAAGAATTCTTCCCAAATATATTGCTATAAAAAAAATCTGAAGAATATATTTAAAAAATATATATATTTTTAAAAATATCTATTTTTTAAATATATTCTTCAGATTTTTTTTAACATATAAAAAAAGTAATGTATTTTTACATATATTTGTAAATGCATTCCAAAAATGTAGATTCATATTTTTAAAGACATACATTATATTTGAAATGTATTTTTAAAAATATTTTTCATATATTTTGTAATAAAAATGCATTTCAACATGCAATATATATATATATATATATTTATATGTATGGGCAGCACAGTGGCTAAATGGTTAGCATTGGTTCCTCCTGGCAGTACCCGGGTCATTGGTTCAAATCCCAGCCACGGCACCCCCTGCCTGGAGTTTGCATGTTCTCCCTGTGCCTGCGTGGGTTTCCTCCGGGTACTCCAAAGACATGCTGGTAGGCGAATTGGCTGCTGTCTAAATTGGCCCTTGTATATGAATGTGAGTTAGGGACCTTAGATTGTACACCCCTTGAGGATTAGGGACTGATGTGAATGTACAATATATGTGTAAAGCGCTGTGTAAATTGACAGCGATATATAAGTACCTGAAATAAATATATATATATTTATTGTAATATATTGAATATGGTCAAAATTGTAGCATTTCAAATATATATCAATATATTTGGGAAGGATATTTTTAAAATATATTTCAGATATATTTTTCTTCCATATGGGATTGCATGGTTGGATTTTATATAGTCCTGGTATTCAGCTTTAAAGTAATCCTAAAGGTTTTTTTTTTTTTTGGAAAATAACAAACATGTCTATACATACCTACTGTTTGCAGTGGTTTTGTACAGAGCAGCCTGGATCCTCCTGCAGGCTCTCCTGGCTCCTCCTGCCTGTTGGGCGTCAAGCAGCTTGCTATGGGGGCACCCGCCGCTGCATGTGTCCATTCACACATGGAGCCATGGCTTGGCCCCGTCCCCTCTCTCCTCATTGGCTAACTGGCTGCGATTGACAGCAGAAGGAGCCAATGCCCCCCCCCCCCTCTTGCTGTCTGAGCCAATGCCCCCCTCCCTTGCTGTCTAAGCCAATGCCCCCCTCCCTTGCTGTCTGAGCCAATGCCCCCCTCCCTTGCTGTCTGAGCCAATGCCCCCCCTCTCTTGCTGTCTGAGCCAATGCCCCCCTCCCTTGCTGTCTGAGCCAATGCCCCCCTCCCTTGCTGTCTGAGCCAATGCCCCCCTCCCTTGCTGTCTGAGCCAATGCCCCCCCTCTCTTGTTGTCTGAGCCAATGCCCCCCTCCCTTGCTGTCTGAGCCAATGCCCCCCCCCTTGCTGTCTGAGCCAATGCCCCCCTCCCTTTCTGTCTGAGCCAATGCCCCCCTCCCTTGCTGTCTGAGCCAATGCTTCCCTCCCTTTCTGTCTGAGCCAATGCCCCCCCTCTCTTGCTGTCTGAGCCAATGCCCCCTCCCTTGCTGTCTGAGCCAATGCCCCCCCTCCCTTGCTGTCTGAGCCAATGCCCCCCTCCTTTGCTGTCTGAGCCAATGCCCCCTTCCCTTGCTGTCTGTGCCAATGCCCCCCCTCCCTTGCTGTCTGAGCCAATGCCCCCCCTCCCTTGCTGTCTGAGCCAAGCCCCCCCCCCCTTGCTGTCTCAGCCAATGAGGAGGCAGAGACTCGGGACAGCCAAGGCTGTCATTCACATAGCTGGATCGTAATGAGTCTCAGGTAAGTATTAAGCGGGCTGGGGGGCACGGCTAGACACAGAAGGTTTTTTACCTTCATGCATAGAATGCACCTTCAGCCTTTACAACCACTGTAAGTATAAACAATTAAAATGTAAAGTTACCAGAAATATTTTCCATTTGCTATGCAATCTTATTGTATGATCATAGCATGATGTGGATCGCGTGTTCTTCATGTGAAGTCTTCCCTCATAACAGATAGCAATACACTGATATACTTACTAGAGATGAGCGAATCGAACATGACGAAGTGGAATTCGTTCCGAA